CTGAGTGGCCTCAAGAGCACACTATCCTCCTGCCTTCCCCAGGCATCACCCTAAATTCAACCAATCCTAGCAATGTCTCTTTTTCTATTTAAATTTCTATAGTAAGCAATGTGAGGGGGGGCTTCAAAGAGAAGGTGGCTAGGGACCCAGGCTATTGTTCTCCTAACCATAAGCCTCAGACTCATTCTTTGCTGAATATTCTCTGGACTGTGTGTGTGTGTGTGTGTGTGTGTGTGTGTGTGTGTTTCTGTATCTGAATGTTTATGCATCAGTATGCATATGTATTTGTGTAAATGGATGTTTGTGTAAGTATGTGCGTGAAAACAGCAAACATGAGCTCTGTAGGGACCGTTACTTACGAGCTCTGTGACCTTGGGCAAGTCATTAATAATCTGTCTGAGCTGTTTCCTCATTTGTAAAATGGATATAACAATAGTGCCAACCTCACCCATGGTTTGGGGGACAAAATAGGGTTAATACTTGTAAAGCAGTTTGGTAGAAGCCTGAATGAATGCCCAGTCAAAGCTAGCACTTGATGTTTGGGGTTATCATTCAAGGTGATTCTGTGTGTGTGCATGTACTCTGTGGTCCATTTAAGGTTCCACTGATATTGATCTATTTATGACCTTCGCTCTATGTCACGTTGTGGTCACCAGTGGGGTCGGTTAAGGGAAAGTCTAGCAAATGACCATAAAACCAGCATGAAAGACAGGTTGCCAGACACCAGAAGGAGGACAACCCAAGAGGATCCAAGAGCCAGAATGGTGGGCAGAGGGGTAACCAAGTCAGGGAGAAGAGTACCCCTGACTTCAGTGGATAGGACAACACAAATCAGCATATGATGCCAAGTCTTTCACACGGTATCCCCAGATAGACCATAAGCCTCAGGCCAGTGGTGTTCCTAAGCACAAAATCCCAGCCTCTATCCTGGGTGACTGATGCTTTCCACTGGACTACAGTTAGAGGTAACAAGTCCCCACCCACCCCTGTCCAAACACATCTAAGAAGATTGCAAAGAAACATCTCTCCTTCTTACCACATAGTGCGGCTCTGGATTTGGCTGTTTATCTCCAGTCTCAAGGCCTTGGATGATTATTCTGATAAACTGGAATGAATCTTGCAGCAAAAGGGGAGCAATAGCCATGCTGATTTATCACCCTTTTCAACCCAGCTGGGTTCCAAGAGAATAAATCTTGCTTGCCTCTGGCTAGGTACCCGCAATCATGCCACGGACCATGACTTTCATATCCCATTAACTCTGAATTACTCAGTCTGGGGCTGAGTTGAGAGGTAATTTAAAATGGCAAAAGGGGAAAAATGTTCTGATTTAGATCTGATAGAGACTGGATGAAGTCCTCCCGTTTTTCAGGGCTTAAATGTGAGCTTTGCAGAGGGAAGGACCTGCGGGTTGGACTGGACTCCTGTGAAGGACCCCTAAGTCGAACACATGCTCCAAAGGTCTGGAGGCTCCACCTCAGACCTGCTACGAGGCAGGGGCTGAGTTTCTCGGGGAACCAGTCCATTAAAAATCACCTTTCTCTGGAGTGTAAATTATCACAACGCTCTAGGGTGGCAATTTGGCAGTACCCATCAAAATGAAAAAGGCTTATGCCCTCTGACCCAGACATTTCACTCCAGAAACACTTGACTGCGTTTAAGGGGATGTAGACCAGGATGTTCACTGTAGCCTTACCTATAATACTGGAAAGTCAGAGACAAACCAAACGGCCCATCAGTAGGGGAATGCCTTAGGAGAGGGTGGCACCCCATTCTAGAAGAGAATAAGCACCCACTAAAGAGAATGAGGTGGAAGGAGGCCCATGATATATGACACAGTAAAAACAAATAAAATATGGAAGAGCTTCACTCAAAGTGTGCTGTTTTTCAAAAAAAAAATGGAGATTAAATTGAAACTACTTTTTTTTGCCTCCATCCTCAGCATCTTAATATGTAAGGCATGCCTCTTCATCAGCAATCACATGGTCTCTGCAGTTTGAGCCACTTTCAACATCTCACAATACATTTCACATCCAGCCCGGCCTGATATTTTGGTCTCTCTGATCAAGCCTTCTCCCAGGATGATGACTGGTGCCCAGCTCACATTCTTGCACTGCCACAAAGCCCGTTGGGTCAGGGGGCAGGAAGAAGAGAAGGCTTTTCTCAGCAGGAATCTGCCTGGTTCTCATCTTTTGAAGGGACACAGAGACCAGGCTCTCTCGGCATCAAATCACCTGTGGCACGTGCAGAAGTGAGCTCACCGTCTTCCCCAGACTGGAGGATCTAAACTACATGAGTATGTGGGAAGCAACAGGCAAGGGACTTACAGTTCTTTAAGAGCACAAAGCCCTTAGCCTGACATTCAAGGCTGCATGAGTCACAATAGAAATAAAATATGCTACCATTACATATAAACCCCAAATCACAGTGACTTCATATAACCAGGATTTCCTTGACCCTCACCAAAAGTCTGGTGCTGACTCCACACAGTGACTCACAGATCCAGGCTGTTACATCCTGTGGCTCTGTTGTCGTGATAGGTGATCTCCTGTGTCACCACAAAGGAGAAGGGAGAACGGGGAGAGGTCTTTGTGCTCTTACATGCCTCAGCTCAGAGGTCACTCCCACGAGTCCAGAGTCCACTGGTCAAAACTGTCACGTGGCCCCAACCCAAACCCAGGGGAGACTGGAAAACAGAGTGCCTTCTATGTTCCAGGAAAAAGACACTGCGTACTTATCACCTTGTCTTGACTCAAGAGCCCAACATACCTTTCCAACTTGACCTCACACACACTCGTTCCTCACCTGTGAGGCACAGCCACCTCCACTCTGATATCCCCACTAGGGAAGGAAAACCAGACTCTGCCCTCCAGACAGATGGGAGGGGAGTCTGCTTCTAGGCTGATGCGATTCATTTGTTCCTCTGTTCCTTCAGCAAACATTGACTGCACACTTATAATTATCCAAGCACTGTGCTAGTCCCAAGGAAACAGTAATGAGCAAGATAGAGACTCTACCCTCCTGAAGCTTACAGGCCAGGGTCAATTCCTACCATCTCTGCCTTCTCAATCCTACTGCACTCCGCCATCCTACCTCTTCCCACCTCCAGTGTGTTGGGAGTATTCATTCAGCGTGTGCGTGGGTGGGTCATAACCCAGTGCCTGGCACAAGGCAAATACTCAACAAATGTGAGTTGCCGGAAATAGCACCCACTGAATTTCTACAGGAATGCTGACAGGTTGCTCTTTACATTCCAGAGTCTATTCATACTATTCCACCATACCTGCTCCCAAAGGCTCAATTTCCAACCCCCTCTTCCTCACTCCCTCACTTAGAGGGCCCTGTCTGTAAACAGAGCTTAAGGAAACCAAAAGACTTAACAGGGGCTAAAGCTTCTCATGCAGTTCTTGAAATTGTTTCCTTTGGGCCTTGAGAGAAATCTGGTCTCTTTTAAGATGGGGAGACCTGAGGCTCCTTGAGGGAGTTCTGGACCTTATACCAAACTGTTAATACAACAAATCAAGAACAAAGAATGAGAAGTATTGTTAAGACTTATGGACTCACTTTCTGCAGGTGTCTGCTCAGATTTCACTCCCCGGAGAGGCCCTTTGAGACCACCGTATATAAAAACACCATTTCCATCATTCTCTATTTCTTTACTCTGCCTCATTTTTCCCCCAAGCCATTTATCACAACAATAAACAATAAGCCTGTTCCAGATTTCAGAGCCCCAGCCCAGTGAGTGTGACACTGCCCATCCTATCACTGAGGGCATGGACTGAATCTGTGTAGGTGCGTGGAGGACAGAATGAGCAGAGTTCTGCTATGCACATTCCCCAGCACCTAGCTCAGAGTCTGGAAGCATATATGCTTCCTAAATACGCTTCCGGGCTGAAGAACGGGAGACCATTAGGAAGTACGCTTCTGTACCTCAACTTTGTAAATCATGTCAAACTTCACAATTTCTGTAGGCACTTGTTTATAAATAAAATTAGATTCATCCAAAACTGAGTTATTCTTCATGGTCGGTTAGTTATTACTGGGAATTTAAAAGCACTTATTTGGATAATATCCAGGTCATTTGGAGTCAGCATCTTCTAAAAGTTGGACCCATTATAGATAAACACCCATGCTGGGCTCCAAGCATAAAAACTAGCAATATGGTTCATTTCCTAGAACATGTGATGAAAGGACAACTCCTTCCTTCATCCCCTAAATATAGCCTTTCTCTAAACAAAATATCCAGTACATAGCATGAGACTGCATTTGTGTTCAACATGGGTTTCTGATAACATACCTCATGCTGCTTTTAAACATCAGATAGATTGGTTAAATCCTTTTAAGAAAATTAGGCAAGCAAAGATGCCGTTAGTTCTAGAAACCCAACACATACATGGCAGAAGCATAGTAATTATTTTTAAGGACATTCTTTTTTATAATGCTTGTCATTTCTGGGTATTAGCTCAAACAGCCCGAACCTGGAACCTCTTTAGGAGATGCCCTTAGTATCAAAGATAATATAACTCATCACAAAATTTGCTGGTGGTTTTTATCTCCCATTCAATTCACTTGTCAGTTTTATACAGGATGACCATATAATTTACTGCCCCCAAAAAAGAAAGACACTGAGGAGGGTAAAAAGAGCTCTACTAATATGAATGATGATGTCAGCATGACAAACCAGGCATGCAGTTACCCTAGCTTTATATCTGATAAAATATAGCTTCCCTATGAGCCATGTACTGAGCCAGACTCCATGGTGAGCGTGCTCAAGTGCTGGGAGGTAAGCCTGGAAAGAAAACACCTAGATCTATATCAGGGATCAGTAAACGTTTTCTTAAAGGGTCAGACAGTAGCTAGATCAGGGATCAGTAAACTTTTTCTTAAAGGGTCAGATAGTAAATCTTTCACCTTTGGGGACCAAGAGGCCACACTAAGGCTATTATGTAGGTACTTACCTAACCATTTAAAATGTAACCATTTAAAAATTTAAAAGCTATTCTTAGCAGTTGGCTGGATTGGCCTATGGGCCAAAGTCAGCCAACCTCTGAGCTAGAGCATTATAGATATTAAATACTGAGCTAAGAAGTTTGGATTTAATTCTGTGGCCAGTAGTTTCCAGCAGTATCTTTATTTTACTGATAAGAACAGATACTACACTTGATCTTAGCCAAAAGGCCAAGAAGCGATGCAGTATCTTTATTTTAGAAGTAGAAACATGTCCTCAAAGGAAAGCATCTATGGAAGCCCAATATATATATATGCAAAACAGATAAAAATGTGTCTGCTGTGTTTGAAATGGGAATGAGATGCAGCGAGCACATCTCTCACCCACAGCGGGTCCCCCCTGAGTGGTCCTGCTGATCACAATTTAAAAACCACAGCCACAGTCAGGGGGTGCTATTAAAGACCTCTGAAGAGAGGGGTAAAGCGGTCACGGCTGTGTTTTACAACAACCGGTCTGGGCACAGCATGACCGGGAGGCAAAACGCCCAGGGCAGAAAGGCCAGTGAGGAGGGTCCTGCGTGGGAACGCACGGAGTAAGGGATGTTTCCGAAGCAGGTGGCAGGGATACAGGTGTGGGTCTCAAGGGGGACAAAGGCATCCAGGCAGCGCCAGCTTCATGGGCGTGCGGCCTGTGCACCCTCAGGGGACCCCCACTTGCTGCTGTCACCATCTTGAAAGGCTCAACAATCTTCCCAGCAGGGCCCTGCATTTTCATTTGCACAGGACCTTGCTGATCACACACCAGTCCCGCACCCAGGGAGGACTGGTAGGAGCCTGAGCATGTGTGTCCGCACCTTCCTCCTGCAGCACTGGCCAGGGGCACTCTACATCATCCCTGGGGACCAGCGCTCTCTAGAAAAAGCCTAGGCACCTCACAGCACTTTCTCCGAGTCTCAGGTCACCCCTCCCATGGGATGCTCTGCCCCCTCACAGGCACTGCTCTGGCTTCTGCAGCCTGCAAACACCAGTCATAGCTGATTGGCCCCAACTCCAAGTCTCTGGGTTACCAACTCGAGTCAAACCCTTACAGGCTGCCTGGTGCTCAGTGGGAATACCGCGGAGTAGCAGTTGCCTTCTGCTGACCGGTGGTCCATAGACGTGAACTCCTAAGGGTCCCTTTGGGTTGGACTCCACCAGGAGCAAACACTGAGAGAGATAAGGATTCAGGTACAAGGATGCTCAGGAGAGAGTGAGGCCACGAGACAGTGGTGAGGAGACAGCCAGTAGGGGTGTGGACTACCACTGTGGGCCGCCAGGGGGCGGCCCCGGAGCCTGTGATTACAACGGAGGGCTTCCATCGACAGATGAATGGATAAAGAAGATGTGGTATATATACACAATGGAATATTACGCAGCCATCAAAAGGAATGAGATCTTGCCATTTGCAACGACGTGGATGGAACTGGAGGGTGTTATGCTGAGTGAAATAAGTCAATCAGAGAAAGACATGTATCACATGACCTCACTGATATGAGGAATTCTTAATCTCAGGAAAGAAACTGAGTGTTACTGGAGTGGTTGGGGGGGGGAGGGATGGGGTGGCTGGGTGATAGACATTGGGGAGGGTATGTGCTACGGTGAGCGCTGTGAATTGTGCAAGACTGTTGAATCACAGATCTGTACTTCTGAAACAAATAACGCAACATATTTTAAGAAAAAAGAAAAAGAAGATAACAGGAGAGGAAGAAAAGGGGAGTATGTCAGAGGGGGAGACGAACCATGAGAGATGATGGACTCTGAAAAACAAACTGAGGGTTCTAGAGGGGAGGGGGGGAGGGGGATGGGTTATCCTGGTGATGGGTATTGAGGAGGGCACGTTCTGCATGGAGCACTGGGTGTTATGAACAAACAATGAATCATGGAACACTGCATCAAAAACTAATGATGTAATATATGGTGATTAACATAACAATAAAAAAATTAAAAAAAAAAAAAAACAACAACGGAGGGCTTCTCCCCTGATGGGCCGGCAAGCTGGGGTGTTCGTCACCAACCCCACCCTTCCCCAGAAATGCTGGTGGGCCCACGGGCAGGCCAAATATCCTCTGTGACCAGAGACTGCCCTCACGCAGAGAGACACGGAGCTGCCACCATCCACCAGAACGGTCTGCAGGTGGCCTTTGGGTGGGTCTGGGAGCTCTGAGTGTGGCACCTACAAGGTCTGCTCCACCCTCCAAGCTACTATCAAGGAAAAATACAGATTTGGGGAAGAAAGGGGATTTCAGAACACTCCAAGTATGAGAGCATACCTTCAGCCGGTCATTCAAAAAAAACTCCTGGAATACCAGTTCTGTGCCAAAATTCAGCTTCTATCTCCAGCGCTGTTCCACAGGCCAAATTTACAACCAGCTGGTGTCAGACCCAACACCAGTAAGGGAACAGACGTGCTCATCCACCGGAGGCCAGGACCACCTGCCCCTAGCTTCGTACCAGCAATTCCCCTCCCAGCTATACACCCAATAGAACCGAAAACCCAAGTCCACACAAAAACGTGTATACAAATGTTCATAAAAGCATTATTTATAGTAGCCTGGAAATGCAAACAACTTCAATGTCTACCAACTAATGAAAGAACAAACATGTGGAATATCCATACGATAGACCACGATTCGGCAATAAAAAGGAATGAACTTCTGGTACGTGCGATCTCACAAAGGAACCTCACAAACATCAAGTGCACAAAGCCAATGGCAAAGGGGCGCATATTATAAGAGTCCATTTATATGAAATTCCAGGATAAGCAAATCTAGAGAGTCAGCAAGTAAATTAGCGGTTGGGTTGCCAGGGGCCAGAGGAGGGGAGACAGAAGACGGAGGAGTGGCGAGGACTGACTGACAAAGGGTTTCTTTTGGGGGTGGTGAACACAATCTAAAATTGATCGTGGTGATGGCTGTGCAGCTTTAAAAACATACTAAAAGGGGCACCTTGGCAGCTCAGTCCGTTGAGCATCTGCCTCTTGATTTTGGCATGGGTCATGGTCTCAGAGTCATGAGATCAAGCCCCTCGTTGGGCTCCACATTCAGTGGGGAGTCTGCCTGAAGATTCCCTCTGGCCTTCCCCCCATTCATGCATTCTCTGAGTAAATAGAATCTTCAAAAATAAAATAATAAAAACATACTAAAAAACACTGAATTGTACACTTTAAATAGCTGAATTATGCAGTGTGTGATTTCTATCTCAAAAAAAGCTGCTATTTAAAGACTAACATGAAGTTCTAATATAAATAAGCAAATTGACGGGGCACCTGGGTGGCTCAGTCGGTTAAGCATCTGCCTTCGGCTCAGGTCATGAACCCAGGGTCCTGGGATTGAGCCCCGCATCGGGCTCCCTGCTCTGCGGGGAGACTGCTTCTCCCTCTCCCTCTGCCTGCTTCTCTGCCTACTTGTGCTCTCTATCTCTCTGTCAAATAAATAAAATCTTTTAAAAAAAATAAATCAATAAATAAGCAAATTGACAATAGCACTGCCTCTTGGAGTATCCACCCCCGGGGGGAGAGAGGACACCACACAGTAAATGCGATAAATCAATTCTATACTATATACTATACACTATATACTACATTGTCATGGAAGGTGACCAGGGCTGGGAGGAAACCACAAAGCAGAGGGTGGACATAAGGAATCTGGGGTGACAGCGAGAGCCACAGTTTCAAATATGGCAGTCAGGGCAGGCGTCGTTGAGAAGGTGACATTTGGGCAAAGGCTCAAAAGAGTTGGCCATGAGGACAGCTGGGGACAAGCATTCCAGGCCCAGGGCACGGCTGGGGCAAAGGCCTGGAGGCTGGGGCGAGCGGCAAAGTGGTGGAATAGCTCCAGCCCAGCTGGAGCAGCATGCAGGAGAGGGGGAACGAGGTCAGAGAGAAAACTGGGGCTCCTGGGGGCCCATCAGGCTGAGGAAGCATCCAGGCCTGCCGCCACTCAGATGGGATGTGCAGCTTCAAAGGGAAGCCGTGTGACAGATGGAGTGAAGGTGAGCTCGCATTTCCCGTCAGCGGCTCGCCCAGCTGGAGACCAGGGTTCTGGCCATGCTGCCCTGAGCAGAGGTCACCCAAGCCCACCCAGGCAGAGAAGGGGGTGTATGGTGGGGATCTGCCAAGCTCTAGCCCCGAAAAGCAAAAATGAGAAGTTGGGAAGCAGCAGGCTGACAGGAAACTGCAATTTCACCATCTAATAACCCAGCATGTTTGTGATTTTCAGGTTCCAATTTTTGTATTGTCACGGTCAATTACAGGTCACAAATGATTTCCAAAGTGGGCTGCCCAGGAAGACGGTTGTGCAAATCCATTTTCCGCGGTCTTCCGGCTCCAGGGCTGCTCAGAGCGTGCGGAGCCGGAGTGAGGGGAAAAGGGAACGGAACGGGCCCGGGGCCCCAGGGGTGTTCCCAGCCCAGGTTTGCTGCATATGTACCGGGTCACCTCACCTCCCCGAGCCTCTCCTTACAGAGAAGGCTGGACCTGACTCACCTCGCACGGATGCTGTGAGACACTCCATTAAAAGGCACAGTGGGAAACACCAAATACCACTCTGACCATGTGCCTGTCCTGAGCGAGCATTTTCAGTCCTTTTAACAGCCTTATTGAGATAGAATTTGCATACCAAAAAATGCACTCATTCTAAATGTAGGATTTAATGATTTTAGTGAACTTATAGAATTGTGCACCGATCACCACACTCCGATTTTAGAATATTTTCATCACCCTAAAAAAGAGTGTGCCAGAGCAATCCTTTGAGGTTAGAGTTCCACCTATAATAACGTTAATGCCATATAAAAACAAGAGAGAAAAATTGTGAT